CTCACATATTTTCCCGCTCTGACATAGTTGCACCAAACTCCTCCCGAACCTTCTGCAGTTTTCAGTGTGTCTTGTTCGGGTCTTGTTGGTGCTAGGATGGGATGGGATGGGGGGGACAAACACAGAGGGGTAAATATATGTGGAGAAATTGAACAAGTCGTTTGTCGGCTGCCCTAGGAATTTATGTGTGCAGGGAGCGCGTCGTCGTCATCGTCGCCGGACCCGTTGGTCGAGTTGAAAATTAAACATTGCGTATACGCCTAGGTGCATAATAATTCATGCCTGGAGTTGAGGCTGGTCGACCAGGCCATTGCTTACCCGGCGACTGCAAACGAAATTGTGTGTAAAATGTTTTAATATGAGCTCATAATATATGAGCCACAGAGAGGCCCAGTGCAGTGGCAGGCCCTCGGGCAGGGAAAAGTGAGTGGACACCGCAGCTCAATTTGTGATTTATAGACATGGGGCCGGGCATGGGCCAAGAAATGGAAACCACTCGCTTATTGAAAGAGTGTGCCAGATAGCAAGTGTTGTTCTTAGTGCTGCTGCTCTGTTGCTGCTGCATTTTGAAAACCAAAGGCCATGAAATTTTATTGTTTAGTTTGGAGGCTGCTGTTGTTGCAGTTGTTGCTGTTGCTGCTGCTGCTGCTGCTGCTGCTTTGTTTCTGCTGCTGCTGGTCAAGGCGTGTGATATGCCTAAAAATGGATGCTGCCGGATATCCTGTGGAATACAGCCTGCATGCACATGCCTAGCAATTGAATTTACATTTCGTTGTACCTAAAAAACACAAAAATACTCCAAGCATCGTACAGTTTTTGCTTGTAACATTTTGTCATTTGTTTTCGTTTCTCCCTCTCTCGCTCCCACTCATTCTGTTATTTCTAGATTTTTTGTAATTGAACTGGAAGTTTGTTTGTATTTTTGAAGGACACCCAGGGACAACAATAATAAAATTCTATGATGTTTACTTGATGCCACTCGAAGCGTAACTCCTGAATGCTTTAAAGTCAAAAGAGCGCACATCCCATCTGGACATCGAAATGGAAGCAAATTCAATCAGGAACCGACCTAATTATAATCTGCGTAAATCCTGCACACAAAACACAGCCGCAGCTCTGATTTCGTTTGTGCGAGACACGTTTTTCTGGCCTGTGCATTCACACCGCACATTTGGTAGTTAGTTTCGATTACCGAGCTGGCCGGCTCATGTGGTTGGCCACTTTTTTTCAGACCTAGGTCCGGGGCAATGCTGAAAAATCAATTATGCCCTGGCTGGCATTTAATTAAATATTGTTGCCATTTTTTTTGTTGCCTGCATATTAACGCAATTATTGAAAGGGGGCGTGAATGGGCTTAGGCACATTTGATATATGTATATTCGATATTTTTTTTAAGCCAATATAAAGCACCGCAGCGGAGAGTATGAGTGGAGATGGCTGCTGATGCCATTGGGGAATGGGAGAAATGCAATTGTGAAGCGTTTTGCAAATATTTTAGCACTTTTAAATAAATACATGCCGCCAGGCAGCTGCACTTTGGCTCAATTTATGGCAGCAAAAGTTAAAACGAAAGCGAAGCCAAAAAATGGCGTTCACGTTAGAGATCCGATGGCGGTTGGGCAAACGGTGAATGGAAATAGGATTGGGAATGGGAATGGGAATGGCAGGCCAGGCCGAACCGGCCCCATGCAACTGTGAAGCCAATGCCGTGTGTCGACGTTGCCAAATTCAAATATTTATTTTAAATTTTTACTCTGCAAAAACGGAATGTGTTTTTCACCGGCGTTGGAGATGGACAGGGGACCAGCTCGTTCTGGTTCCGGCATCTGGCTTGCCGCTCTACCGTGGTAAGTAACTTAAACCTTAGCATGGAAACTTTATGGAATAATCATAGATTTATCAGACATAAAATGCAATCAAGAATGGAATTACATCATACACTTTTGAAACATAATTCATACTTATTCTTATCGGCAAATTTCGTTCTCTGTCTCGTTATTTTTAGAGCAGGAGATACGCTGCCAATTATTTAAATATTTTTACAGATTGCTTTCACATCTGGGTTGTATCAGTTTACACTTTCAACCATCTGCAGTATCCACTTGGGCCAAGGCTGAGCCCTTCATTAGCCTTTAGCCAGCATGCAACCCATCCGAGGCGAAGCTCTGTGTGTGTCCCCGCTTGGGTTCAAGAGCCCACGCCAATGCCACTGACATGCCACGAAAGTAAAAGCCAAACCAATCGGACGCTGCCCGAAGGTTCGGAGCAGGCTGACCCGGGTGGGCAGTATGGATGCTTGGGATGCCCTGCTCTGTCCTGCTCTATGCAATCTGTGCAATATTCCACGAACTGCCGTTAATTACACAAATGCAAAAGTCTGTTGAGCGGCCAAATTGGTCGGTAATAAATAAATTCAATTGAATAATTTATTTAATTTATTTTCGGGGGCTGCTGGCGCGTGACATAAAAAGCAGTAAACAAACAAATTGTTTTATTTTTCCCACTGCCCGTGTGTGGCAGGTGGGCAAAAAGCTGCAAAAAAAAAAAAAAAATATATATATATATACGCCCTTGCCCTGACCCGACGCCGCCCGGTGTCGGGATGCGGAAGTGTGCAGCAAGCTGACATCGAGGTGTTAGAATTTGGTGCAGCCCAAAAAAGAGGAAATAAATTGTACAAAAAACAAGCAACCAAAAGGCCAAACACACATTTTTCAGTGCTGACAATAGCAGAGACATTCCCGCAGAGGAATGGTGCAAAAATGTTTGTGGCACAGGCCAAGTGAATTTGTGGAACGAAAACAAATCGTTTAATTGGCTTAAGCAAAACGTAACCATTATACGGCCGCACCGTTGCCCGATTATATAACCATCCAGCCCCACCGCGGCCCAACAATGATGTTGACAGTCGGAGTTGGAGTCGCAGTCGCAGTCGCTGTCGGCGCCGGCATCGGCTTCGGTTTCAGCCTGACTCAAACCCGTTTGCCAATGCTGCGGCTGCTGCTCTCGTTGCTGCTGCTGCGACTGCTTCACTTAAACGTTTTGTTTCTTTATTTTTTAAGAGCAAACTGACGCAAGGGTACGGGTACCGCCAAGAGCCAACCACAGCCTCAGCCTCAGCACCACACCCAGGCCAGGCCAGGCCAGGCACCAAGTGTCATGGAGCCAGCAACGGGTTTGGCGTGTTATTATTCACTCTGGTCCACAATCTGCCCCGACTTGGCTTCGCCCGCTGATATCTAAAGCCCACCTTCGTTTCGTTGGGTATATAACTAATATGGAAAATCTTGTCCAGACTTAGTCGCTTGCCACATTTGCTCTCGAGCCCTCGTCCGAGCCAGAAATGAAGTCTTTCACTCTCCTGTTGATTGTAGCCGTTACTGCCGTGTCCCAGGTCAGTGCCCAGTGGTTGCCCTTGCTGGCCTTGCTGGCGGATGTGACACCTTAACCTAACCCACAATATTATTTTGCAGACATCGGCCAAGTTCCAGGTGCGAACGCACGACGATGCGATAAAGGCGTTCGAGGATTGCCGGGAGGACAACCACGTGCCGGATGACATATATGAAAAGTTCCTGAACTACGAGTTCCCCGCCCATCGTCGCACCAGCTGCTTCGTCAAGTGCTTTGTGGAGAAGATGGGACTGTTCTCGGCCAACAAGGGCTTCGACGAGAAGGCAATTATTAAGCAGTTCACGGTCAAGACCCCCAAGGACCTGGACACTGTGCAGCATGGCCTGGAGAAGTGCATCGATCACAATGAGGCCGAGTCGGATGTGTGCACATTCGCCAACCGCGTCTTCTCCTGCTGGCTGCCCATCAACAGGCATGTGGTCCGCAAGGTCTACGCCTGAGTTTAATGTGATATGTATAAGTACTCTTTTCAGTTATTGTATGTTGAATTATGCTTAATAAATCCAGTACAGAACTGACCTAGTCCAAGGCGTTAGCCACAGGCCTAATGGTTCTGTTCTGTGCATCCACCCTGTAGTGTCTGCTCTGCTCCATTCATTCAGCCACTCTGAGACTTAATCTCGACACGCTGATAACCTCCCCTCCAGCTCCACTGCATCGGCAACAGCAACAGCAGCAGCAACGCCAGCTGATCGCGTCAGCTCTCCGGCGACCGGACGCTGATAGGCGCAAGATCTCGGATTTAGTTTACATTGTGCATTCTCGGCATCTAGATGATCTCCTTGTGGATTATTTCAACGGGCGTGCTCGTCGCCAGCAGCCTGGTGCGTTCAACTGGCCCGCACCTATCCCAGATCCGCCACTAATCCGTATTTCCATCAGGTTCTAGCAGATCTTGCGGGTGAAGCGAAAATGCTGGAGAATTGTCTGAAGCAAGTTAGCAGCCCGGAGCGCATTGTCAACGATCTGCAGCGGCTGGAGCGCTACCCCGAATGGACGAGTGAGGAGGTGCCCTGCCTGATGCGTTGTCTGGCCAGCGAGAAGGGCTGGTTCGACATCGCCAAGAACAAGTGGCAGGGCAAGCGGTTGACCGATGACATTGGCGCCGATGTCTACAACTACTGCCGGTTCGAGCTGATGCGGAAGTCGCGGGATGGCTGCAGCTTCGCTTACCGCGGCCTGCGCTGCTTGAAGCAGGCGGAAATGCACGCCGGCACGAGTCTCAGCACGCTGCTCCACTGCGCCCGTTCGCTGAATGCCACCAATGTGGAGTTGCTGCAGTACAATAAGCTAGAAACCAATGAGCCGATTCCGTGCCTGTTCCAGTGCTTTGCTGATGCCATGGGCTTCTACGATACGGCGGGAAACTGGCGTCTGCCCAACTGGCAGCAGGCCTTTGGCCCCAGTCGCATGGAGAATCAGACGCAGGAAAAGCCACTGGACTTCAGCGAGTGCCGACGCAGCGATAAGGAGCGGAAGGAAGCCGCCAGCAAGTGCTCCTGGATGTACGAGGAGTACAAGTGCTGGGAGCGTCTCAATGGCAACGGGGATTTTGGGGAGGAGAGCAAAGAGACGAACTAATGGCATAACTATAAAGTCACTTGTATTAGAAGACATGGATGTTGTTCACATTATAAAAGTACCAGGGGACAATGGCCCCTCTAAACAGCCAGTACATAGCATGTGAACTGCTGGTAAATGGTGGAACACTGGTTCCTACCACGCCTCTGATGGCACGCGGACACACGGGCGCCTGCCACTGGGACACCCAAATGCTTCCGCATTGACAGCAGCTGCCAGCGGCGGGTGCGCTCGTCAAACAGATGCAGCTTCGAGATGAAGCAGCGCGTGAAACAGGGAATGGGCTCGTTTACGGGGAAGTCGGGATACGCCTGGAAGCGGCTCCACTCGTCTCGGTCCACCAACTGCAGGCAGTCCTTCATGGCGGTCTTGGCTGTCACCGAGATGTTGGGCATGCTCTCGATCTGCATGAATGGATGCCCCTCCAGCTGCGAATGTGGACGATGAGAATTATCAGTGTCTGTATGGGTGGGTTCACTGGACTGTTCGCATATCTCTTATCGTCTCTACTCACGTTGGTGATGCAGTGAAAGCCCGCGTAAGCATGCTCACAGCTGCTCTGCGTGCGACCCCCGCCCAGCTCTAATCTCTGGCGACAGGCATCGTAGACGGGCCGTCCAAAGAGCTGCACAACGCCGCTCTCATCGAAGCCCGTGCGATTGTCGTAGAAGTTAAACATCTCAGCGAGGTAGCACTGCGTGAAGCAGGGTATTTCCTCATAGCCATCCGACCACTCCTTGAAGCGTTCCAGGCGCTCAGCAGTCTCCGAGGTGAGGCCGCCGTAGTTCTTAATGCACTTCTCAATGCTCTCCGTCTCGTGGTTAAGCAGAGCCTGGCTCTCAAGCTGCAGAGTAATGGGATGAGTAATGGCGGCTAGTTCTGTCTGATCTCGTGGCTTACCACTCCTACACACAGGAAGAGGGCCAGCAGGGCCCACATTTGCATCGACATAGTCTCGTTTGCTGGGGCTTTCCTTCACGTTCCGCGACCGCTGGAATACTGAACCTCTGGCAAAAATCTCATCAAACACATAATGATCTATCGTGGTTCTAGTCGCTCTGCTCTGGGCATTGATAACCCAATTTTTTGGCTACTTCAAGTTCAATCGAAAGCTTCCGAGTGGGCTGCTGATAAGGGGCTACAATCAGTGCTGCCGCACTAACAACTATCAAGGCGTCGTATGGTTCAAGTTTAGGCCTCGCTTGCGCAAAGAATCTCGAAACGATTGTTGCGACGCGTCGCGGGGCACACCTAGTGATGTCTCTTACGCAACACAATCCGATCACTGGGCCAGATGCCCAGTTGCATTCGCATTGATCAACACCTGCCAGCCAACCAGCCAACCATCGCAATGCCAGAAAGAGCCACATCAGGCCCCGGTCATTGGAATCATGTTGCTATTGAGGGTTGTTAATTGATTTTGCGTTTTTGTTTTGGCATTTTGCCCGTCCACTTGTCAGGCTTTTAATAATAGTAGTTGCTGTGGTTGCTGCTGTGCTGCTGTGCTGCTGGTTGGCTGCCCAACTTGTAAAGGAGCGACATCGTCTCGTCCCACTTTACGCATTTTTGAGCAACCGGATTCGCAGAGCAATCCGAGTATAATATTGAGAGTGAGCAAAACGTGTTTAACATGTCGCAGTTGCTTCTGCGCATCATCAACATCATCATCATCGTCGTCGTCGTCAAGCAACGCAATCCAGGCCCAAAGCACTGAAGAGATCTTCATCTTCTCCATCCGCCGCAATTGCAAGTTAAGTTAAGAAAAACAAACAAATAACTTCAAAGTGGTTCTGCCAGATTGGCCCAAGAGTTAGCTACAACAATCTCTCATCAACTATTGCCACTTCCACGAATCGACAGATTCGAACGGCAAGGCGGCTAGGCGGCTATGCGGCTAGGGGGCTTAATCCACCGGCCACCGTTTCCCCTTCCCAAAGATTCCACAATTTCTTCGCAGTGACCTTGGCTCGTTTTCTTGCGTGTTTGGCCGTTAAAATTATAAATCCAGTTTTCGATTTCCTCTCTTCTTTCACTCACCCAGCGAGCGGGTCGGACTCGACTGGACCGGGACGGGACGGGATGGAACTGAACGGGACTGGACTGTTGTCAATTTGTACAAATTTTCGTTATATAGTTAATTGTATTTTTTTTCCTTCTCTGTTTGTTGTTGCCAAACGGCTTTCGTGTCGCCACGCAGTCGCCGGCGGTGGGGCAACGGTGATGACAACGATGACGACACAGCATCAAGAGTCCGGTCCGGTCCGGTCCGGTGAGGTGCGCCTGCTGCCGCCTGGAGATGCGCTGCACCGAACCAAACTGCACTGCACTGCAGTGCACCACTGGGACGGCCTGACCTTTGGCAATTTAAAATGCAACAGCCCGGGGCCTGGGGCGACTGTCTTTGGACTGCAACTTTGGTAACACTTCACACTGGGCTGGGATGTTGCTGCGATTTCAAAATGATCCCAGGCAGCATTTAGCATTTTCATTGAGCTTAGCATAGATTTGAATACATTTTGGTGGTGGGGCCGATCTGGCATCTTTCTTCGGCTTCGTCTCCGGGTGTAGTCCAGTCCCCCCAGCTGACCGAATTTATGGAGAAGTCGCATATTTTAAACGTTTCTTTTGTGTATGTTTCAAGGTTATAACCCAGTTTTTGCCAGGGTGCGTTCATTCGTTTTGTTGCGTTTTCTTCTTTTTGGCAACACAACAGCAGCAGCGGCAGCAGGCAGGCACAACAGTGTTTTATGGTGGGAAAGAAACTGGAACTAAAATCGAATTCGATCCGATTCGATTCGATGGGATTGGTGCGTGTTCAATACATTAATGAAACTGCAAGCAAACCTTTTGATAAAAGCTGAGCGACTAAAAGATGTTCCGATAACAATGGCAGTGCGTCCTTGGCTTAGTTGCCAGTGCCAGTGCCTGAACTTGCCACGAAATGCCGGACAGGACAGGACAGGACAGTACAGGGCAGGGCAGCTGCGTTTAATGACATTTACAAATTGGATTTGGCATCTGTCGCTCTTCTGGCTCTGCCGGCCACTCCAAATATAATTAAAAACACATCAACTTATTTACGGGCAGGTTGTGCAATTTTTGGCACATTTCGCATGCAAATCAAAATTCCACTTAACGGGGTTGGACTTGCTTCTGCTCCGCTATGGGCAAGGGGGAGGAGTGTACACTGTACACCCATTGAGACCGTCTTCAAATGGTTATAATTAAAAATACATCTACGCAACATGTGGATTTTATGTGTGTCCAACATCTGGCCACGAACCACAACTGTGCGGAGAAGCATTGTACTAAGACAATGCCTGGCCAAAATCGAAAGTGTGCTGTGGGTGGGTGGTGGATGGGAGGGAAAACTGACTGCTAGCTATAGAAATAAGTCAACAACCTGTGCGTGTTTGTTGCCTTCAATTTGGTGCAAAACATCCAACTCATTAGCTTGGCATCATCGTTAGGTGGGAATTAATTATGCAGATGTATTCATTGTATTGCGATTTCAAGTGTGGTAAAATGCAGCCCGGCACGGGCACGGGCACGGGCACTGGCATGGGCTGGCCTAATGGAGGTGTGGACCACGCTCAGACAATCACAATGATGATAATGATGATGACGTTGCCGTTGACGATGATGGGTTGGGGCGGTGTCTGTGGCTGTGCCCAATTTCGGGTAACTAACTACTCACAAAAGCTCTTCAACTTCTCAAGTGCCTTTCTGTTTGTGTTTGTGTTTTGTGTTTCATGATTTTCATTTTCGATCATTCCAGGGCATTACAAATTAATCCCAAAATCGCTTAAGCTTCCGCCCCGAATGAAGCGTTAACTAAGTAAGCACTTTTCAGTCGACAGAAAAGCAGATTTTGTGTGTTGTGTTTGAAAGTTTGAAATTTCTCTGATCATTGACCTCGGACTGCGGTTTGCTTGCGTGTAATCGGCCGTCACAGAGGCCTGCCACTTTGGGGGATTACGTAAATCCCAAATTAGTTAATAAATGAAAACTGTGAACTGTGAAATGAGAAATGAGAAATAATATTGTTCAATATATTCAAAAAATCATGCCATTACGTCGCAATAAAATGCTTAGCCAATGCAGTTCAAGCTGCAGTTGGCTTTTGGTCACCGTTTAGTGAACCCCAAGCAAGTTATAATTTCTTATTTATTTTATAATTATTTATTTACAATTATCTTAAGTTGTCAAATTGGAAAGTTTTTCTATATTTAGTCAGAGTTTTGCTAAAGAAAGAAAAAGTAGGGAAATATCTTATATATTCCACAATTTAGTTGTCTATCAGCAACATATTTGTATCATTTGAGGGTCAGCTTTAAGCTGTTACGGACAGTTAGACAAACAAAAATACCATTTGGCTTCCTCAATAATTGTTTAGAATTAATGGCTTCCATCCGGCAGTTGGATTTATCAATGGAAATCAGATGGTAGTCAGATTAAATAGTTAAATTCTGCTTCATGAGACTTCAACTGACTTTGAGAAATCGGGTCTCAAGATGCGCTAATTGATCCACTGGCAAATGTTCAACTAGCTGCTGCTGCTGCTGCGATTTTTCACTCTAGAACAAATCTATTAGCTTGCTGTAGGTCAAGTCAGTCTCAGACCTTGTCACAAGTCGAGCATCAAATGCATTTGCATATAGCCTTAGTTTATATTATAAATTTAGATACGTAATCCCAGCACCTTCACAGATAAAATGCAGGTGACACTTAGCCTCCCCATGCCATTGGGCGCTTTCCAACACCCACCCAACTAGGTCAGCCAGCCAGTATACAGTACACAGCTGGGTATGAAATAAAGTAGTCGCATGAGCATTGTATGCATATAGGCATAATTAATTGGAAACCGTTCTAACGGGCCTTCGGCGGCAGTTGTGCGTAATACGAAAGATTCCAGTCACGAACGCGAGGCAGTCGCAGTCGCAGTTAACGACAAATTACCGTTTCACAAAATGCACTTGCCAAACTTGCAACTTGCGGGCTAAGAACTTGCCTGACCAAATACGACAAACTAAAACTGATCGCTGCACTCACAATCACTCGGAATCCACTGTGAATGGTGTGTGTGTGTGAGTTGTGAGTTTTGACGACGAATCAGATACAAAATACAAATGGCATGCACTTACCACGTGTGGCGGCAGTCAGAGAATGGTTGGTGGGGGGAATGGAGAGCAGAGCGGTGGACCAAGCCAAACCACTTTTCTTCCGCGTTGCACATGCGATGGCGGCAATGCAGACAGCGACGCAGACGTCAACTGCAACGCTTATGGCGACGTAGGGGCTGCTGCCGCACCCACCCACAAATGGGCTAACAAAATCAACAATTAAAACCGTTCACAATCTCCGGCGTTTTTTCCATGTGTTTGGCGGCAGTCTGATGCAATTTTTGCATTTTTCAAATATTTTTTAATTTTCCGACTAAAAAATTTGTATCTCTGATGCTGTTGGCTGTGGAGTGAGCGAGTCTTCGTCGCTGGTCAGTGCTGCTCAAATTAACTCCACTGAAATTGCCTGTGTAAGAATTTCTGATTTCTGACTGCTGTGGCATAATTTGGCATTCAATTTGATTGCAACGCCTCGTCGACTGGCAGCCACTGGCGCTGCCACTGCCGCTGCTGTTGCACTCCCTGAAAATGCCAGAGCCAAAAAAAAAATACGAATCCATAACAAGCCCCACACGCCTGACAGCTGCACGGCAAACACGTTTCACGTCTTGCCACAGCCAGCCCGTGGCAGAGAAACCAACCCTAAAAGAATACCAGAATCTGGGCTTTGGCTCCCCTGAAACAAAAGCAAAGCAACTACAATGAGTAACAGCGGGTGAGGCTCCACCTATATCTATGTGTATCCAGCAGCCGCAAATGGAACCACGCCAAACGGCAGTGGGGCGGGCAATTGAAAGCGAAAGCATAACTGACAAGGTGGCTTAGTTGGAAGTTTGTATGTGTATCTGTAGCTGTTTCTGTAGTTGTTGTACCTGTAGTTGTGTTGTGGCTGCTGTTGCTTTTGCACTTCTAAAACTGGTTGGCTGTCTGGACATGTAGGCAGTGGCAAGTCTTCTAGCCTCCACTTCAATAACACAGGCGACTCAACTCCATCGATCTGAACTCGACTCGACTTGAGTCGAGCTGGAGCTCGAGCTCGACTTTGCCTCAGAGTCAGCTGTAATTGTTCTGCGGCCGTCTCTGGCTGTAATTTCATATTCTTCCTGCATTCCGAAACCTTGAATCACATTTCTTGCATTTAATTGCACACATTTTTTCAGATTTTTTTTGTTGCCTTTGCCGTTGCCGTTGCCTCTCCTCTTGAAGGCGCCGCTGAGTGGCTGCCGTTGACCGCCGGGCTGGGGCTGGGTCAGTTTTAATAGCTGCTGCTGTTTGTTGTGGCAGCCACTGCAACTTCCATTGCAACAACAGCAACTGGCTGGCCTACCTTTTACTTGCACGCACCGAACGGAGCTGGCTGTATCCGATGACGGCCTGTTTTAAATGCCATCCAGTCGAGTGACTACGGGCTATATGGCTCTCGATGTTAGTTTATTTGTTTACTCAGAGCCACTCAGGGGGAATGTGGACTTGCATTGCCCGCCACCGGTTGACCATCGCATTGCATTTCACATTAAGAAATCATGTAAATAGCGTTGATTGGCTTTTAATAAGCCGCAATCTATGGACTGTGCAGTGGTTGCAGGAGCAGGGCCCATATGGCGTATGAGCAATGGCTAGATCAGACGGCAAATGCCAAGAACATGACTCACTCCGGCGATACTCACACTCACACTCAGATACAGATACTCAGCTACACACGCTCACACCCCTAACTGAAGCAAAGAGCTTAAACCAATAAGGTGAAGTTCAACTATGAATCTGATATTTGGTGTGTCTTGGCTTGGTTGAAAGATGCCGAGCCCTGGGATATACGTAATTAGCCGCAGACACAAATTGAATGCTACAAGTAGAGTTGCCCACACTCACTCAAACACTCACAAATACACTCACACGCGCATTGAATTGAACTTTCAGGCAAAAATTCCATTTGCAACCCCCACCTTAAAAAAAATCCATAAAAAAATAATAAAGAAAAGTAAAAAATGCAAAACGCAAGCAGCAAAAGCAGCAAAAGTAAAACGAAAAACCAAAAACAAGAAAAGAAGGATAGACTTGGGCCGAAGCTTTTGATACCCTTGCATGTCGATTCGATCAATCCAGTGGCAGTTATTTGATATTTTTGGGGACTGAAATTGACTATCGGCTATAATAGAACATGATAACAATCCGAGAAATACATTTACTTCCTCCTCTGTGTGGCTGTCATTTAGTCAAAGGCTTAACACCCTCTGCAAGGGTATAGAAAAAGCAAGCAGATCAATTGACAAATGGTTTGGGCCACAACAATGGTCGAAGCTGGGCGCTGCTAACTGCGCTGCCAGCAGCTCTGCTGCGACGACGACACTTTGCCAGCCTGCATACAAAACAAGCAAATACAGTTAAAAGTCGCTTACAAGAGACAGAGAGAGAGAGAGAAAGAGAGAGAGCGAGTGAGAGACAACGCATTAGAGGGGAGCGCAATATGGCGTGAATGTGGCCTACACAAAGCTGACTGCTATGAGGCCAGCCCAATCGCTGTACCGTTGCAATGTCAGTGGACGTGACGCTGCCTCTGTCTCTGCCGCTGCCTCAGCCGCTGCTTCTGCTCTGCTGCTGCTGCTGCTGCTAGTCTGCTTGCCTGCTTGTCTGCTAGTCCACTGCTCTGCCGACGCCAACGTCTGGATTGTTCGCGGCGGGCGCGCATGCGCAGCGGTATAAAAAGCTCCCGCACCAGCCAGGCAGCCACACACAGTCCAAGTCGTTCGGTCCCGCTGTCACATACATTTTTTCAAGTGCGGTTACGTCTCGTCGCCAGCAGCAGCAACAACAAGTTTATATAAACACACAGAAAGAGCCAAACCCCGAAATCGATCGCAAAATGAAGAAGTTTTTCGTTGTATTTGTTGCATTATTCGGAGCCGGTATGTATCTTTTGCTAGCTATTTCAAATGAGAAACAAAAAGAAAGAAAGAAAGAAGGAAAGCTGAGGGAAAATACAGCATACGTCATGCAGCATACAGTTTTTCCGCTTGCGCAACACGAAGGACACTCGAAGCAGACATCGGCATCAGCATCAACGGCAGCAGCAGCAGCAGTGATGAAAAGTGTACAAATCGAGAGTGTTTTAATGTTAAGCTCTGCTTGTGCAACGAGTAAATCAACTATCTCCCATTTGGCTGCTGCTCCCATTTTACCCGCGGAGTCGCAGGGGGCACAGCAAAAGCCAAAAGCAAACGCCAAAAAGCAATAGAAATGAAAATGAAAAGCAAAACCAGAGGGAAATGTAATTGAGCAAGCGGCCAAAATAGCCAAACCCCAGTCGGAGACCGTGCCAGAGACCGAACTCGAACCCGACACGTTAGCTTGCATTTTCCGTGCCTAGTTACACACAAAGATACTGAGATAAAGTTACGGATATACACACAGAAATGGGGAGCGTACCTGCGGCTGTGCCACTATCGGTATCTGTGTATCTCTATCTCAAATGAGTATCTATTGGTTTGCCTCGATTTCATTACCTCATCGACGACGCCTTAAAAAAGTGGGAGAAGTTACAACAGAGACGATCGCTGGTTCGGCTTCGTTGCAGCTCAGTTTTGCAACCAATTCTGCTGCTGCTGACGTTGCTGCCATTGATGTTGCTGGCGTAATGCCTGTGCAAATGATATTAAGATTTGAGTTGCAAGCCTGCCCTGTCTGGTTATCTAACACCAACCTCGTCTCGAAACTGAAGCACACAAAAAGTTTCAATTCAAATTGTAGTTTCCATCAAACTACAAACTACGAGGTGTGGTCTTGGTCACGCGCATTAAAATTGGCGAATCGTTGACTAACTCGCTCAATTTTGACATTGACATTGAAATGCTTTTCAGACTCCTCCATAATCGCCACAAAAAAAAGATGTTTACGAGACAAAGCTAATGGGGGAGATAAGCAGAAGCCGGGCTGGGCCGGGCTGGGCCGGGCTAGGCCCAGGAATCTTAACTACGCCGCAACAGCCGCTCCCCGCATGGCCGCAAAAATAAAAAAACCCGTTTCGAAGCCCAATCGCTTTTTGGTTATTCAACCTAAAATTTTTGCAAATTGCGTGCCATGCATTTGAGCCAAGTCGTGCATGGCCACAAAGCAATTTCACTGCTCGATTTTAATTACCAACAATTTGAGAGTTATTAAACTTAACAACGTACCCAAACATAAATGTTTAATGGGCCCATTTTGATAACTGCCCGTGATGCCAGTGCGTGTGCGGTGCGGTTCGGCACATTGTCAAGTTCAAGTTGGCATTAATTATGCAATAGCACACGCTCATTTGTGCACTTGTTCGGCTTGAATGCTGGAAAAGCTCGAAAGGCAAACAGCCACAGCTACAGCCACATATGTATTTCTCCTAAGTGGCAAAGTTGCAACAAGCCTGCTAATCACGGCGATAAACAATTTAAGTGTTCCAAAGATTTCCGACAAATGCCGCGAAAATCACACACACACACACGTACATACACTAACACACAAAACACAATAAATTTCCGCATTTTGTTGCGTTGTGCTGTGACTTTTGGTTATTTTATTTTTCTCGTGTTGCATTTGCTGCTCCTGCTGCTGCTGCTGCGGTTTGGTATCGAAAACTAACACCAACCGCAGCGGCGGTAAAAAAAGAATGTGGCAAAAGACATACAATATAAATTTTGCCATTTCGCTATTGCCACACACCACACACCATCCAGCAGGCAGCAGGGCACGGGCACACAGATACAGACAGTGATGCCCGGCCCGTACCAATAGCAGCAGCGAGTCACGCTTCAAAAGTTTTTATTTTGTGGCAACAAAATCAAATGAAAAGGGCCGCAGCAGACATGCTGGTGAAAGGGAATCGGGTGGCAGGCAGAGGGATATTGTATAGGTTGCATTAGGGCAGCACAAACACACACTAGCACACACACTCAAACACTGTTGCCACGGCTATCTATGGTGATTTATGGTGGGGCAAGCAACAAGGAAAGCCAACGCTTTTAAAACTCAATTTGCATGCCACTTTTGGTGGGCCACGGCACGGTACAGCCCGGCACGAGGACTGACTGACTCGCCCGTCGAATGTTGCAAATCAATTTTCAAATGCTGCATCGTCGATGCGTTAAATTTGAAAAAAAAGAAACTCTGTGTTACTATAGTAAATGTATGTATTGCTGCGGAAAGCCCACCAAATCGCTTAAGACGCATTCTTTGGCTAAACGGATTTATTGCTCAATATATGACAAGCCAAAACTATTGGAGATTGGGCTGGGAATGAATGACGCACATGCGGCGGCTTTTGGCACTCTCCACTCAGCACTCAACCATCGACTCTTCGGCTCTGAAAAAAACCCACAAGAGCCATAGACAAACAATAGACAAGCAATTGAAACGCAGATTAACCTACATACGGGGCATGCCGGCAACAGTGTAGGTAAATATTTAAATATCATTACGATGTTGTCTGCGCTGTATGCAAAAACTGTTTTTGGGAAAAAGCCAACAACAGCAGCAACACTTGGAGGAAATGCTCGACTGTTGTTGGTGCTGCTAAGTAAATACCAAGCCTCAGCCCCGTCCAGGCTGGGGCCAGCAGGCTGGGGCTAAAACTCTAACGAAACGTGCTTAAATGTCAGCAATTTTCTTGATTTATATGGCGGCAATGTCTTGGCGCTGGCAGACGTGGCACGGCCAGACAACAATACCAACAACGATAAAAATAAACGTTGGTACACCAGCAACAACCACTGAGAATTTGCCACAGGCAAATGATAGATACATACTTGTACTTACAAGTGCCACCAAACAGACAAAAACACCTTGCTGCAAGGGGTGAACCAGAGTAGAGGGCTCCCACCTGTGATTGCAACTCGGTCGGTAGAGGCGATTATGGGCCCCACCTAAGGTGGCCATAATGTGGATGAGGCCAGAAACAGAGGTCCTTCATAATGCTTCAGAATTTTGTTTGCTGGAATGCCAAAGGCTGACGACGCCTCCGCTTCTTCCCCCCAAACCCCTTCCGGTCAGCCATTCCATGATGGGTTCAATGCTCCGTTGCCGGTTGATACTCATATTTATTGCTTGACAACTGAGTTGGGCGGCATGCAATGAAAATTTGTCATCATTTGTCATGATATTTTCTCGCAAGGCGACATACTGCAGCCCCGTCCCCACACTTGTCAGAGGAGATAAAGATTGTATGTAGATAGACAGAAGGCCACAACGAGGAGATGTTTGTGCCCTGAGTTAGAAAAGAAGCAAATGTGAATCGATATCCGGATTGAGACAGCTTTATTGTATGGTGTATTCATTCGCATCTAATTATAAAATATCGCATTGAATTATTGAAAATGTTTACAATTTGCAAATTGCCAACGCCAACGCATTCATTTGTTAATTTTAAATTATGAATTTATTTGTTTTTGCAACGAGTACATTTGCATCTTGACAGTGTCTGTCATTTAAGAGAAACATAAATTAATTTCATTATATGTATATCAGAGTGCGTATAATGTTTTTTTCCGCTTTTGATAGAGCTACTTAATAAAGTTTGTAACTTGTGTGACTGTTGTGTACATTTTTGGTTAATTAAATGATTATGTTAATGGACGAGCGGATGTACAAATGATAAACAACAATGACAGCGGGAGGGTTGGGCTAATGGTGCGCAATCAACCAAAAAGACCAATACAAATGTCGGTTGAACTGTTGAAATGTCAATAAAAATTCATTATTTAAATGCACAAACACATGCAGAGATATTCAATACAGACAGACACCTACGAGTATTTAGCTGCAGAGGATCCTTCCATCCTTCCACATTGTTTGCGCAAAAAGGAGCAAAAAATGTAATTAAGCGAGCGGCATTGATAGATAAAACAATTATTGCAAAACAGTAAATTAAATTAAATTAAATAAAATAAAATAGCATGCAACACCAGGCAATCTGTCTAACTAGCTTATAAATAATTCGATATCGAATCACGTGGTGAGTGTGCAGACCAGTAGTGTAGTTTAAGAGACTCGCATGCCGTTCCAAAGGTGTGCCGGTTGTACCGTCTGCGGCCCAGCCCCGCCTTCCAACGGCGAGAACAAAAGACACCGGCCTGGCCAGAGTGGGTTAGTAGTTGGTCTAGAATCCAGCTAAACCGGTTCTCACCACTAAGCCAGAATGTGGGCTAGAATATGCCTTTGCTTTTGCTTTCGTTTTCGTTGAGCCAACAGCTTCTGTGGGCTCCCACTTAATACGAATATAGATGTGAGATATTATGTCATGTCAACTGAGCTAGACCAAGATGCTTGATGATATAACCAGAAATATCTTGGGTCTTCTATTTCGACTGTTTCGATTTTCAGTACCGTCTTCGGTATTTAGCAACATTAGGCTTGGAAAGCATATTGCACATTCGCACCGTGGGCCAGGTGCTGAGGAATACGTAATTGTTTAGATAACATGTGGTACTTACCAAGCGCGACAAAGCACATACAAAATATGTATGTGTATTTCTGCTATTCGCACTCGTACAATGGCAAATGCACAATCATCAGCCTGGGCAGGTGTGCGAACGCATTAGGGCCGCGGCTGCGGTCCGTTCCTGTGGCTGGCAACAATGCTGCTCTGCTACTCTGCTGCTCTGCTACTGCCGCTGGTCGCATTGTGGCACTTCTGTTAGATTGCACTTTTTCCGCACAGTTACAGATGCAGCTCACAGCCAACGGCCATGTATGTACACGTTGGCCAAACTAAATTATTGTAGCCAACGTTAGCTTGGTGAATGTTGCTCAGCTAAGTGCTTGGGAATGTCTGGCTGCTGGCTCGAACCATAAATTCCTGGCTAATTGATTTGCTGGCTTCAAAAGATTCCAAAAGCTAAGGCGAAATATAAAAATAAAATTCCTTGAAATTTGTAAATTAAATCAAAACTTCGGATCAAGCTATTAATTGCCCATTTAAATTTCATGAAAATTCGATACGAACACGAACAAACTGCGTAATTAACAAAATTACAATAAACAAATGCAAAGCGAATAAACAATCACTGCTCTGCTTGCTCTCGTTCGGTAGAGGACAGCGGTCGGACCGGCTAAATGACTGAGTAAGCCTACAACCATACATATGTATGTATGTATGTATATGGCAAAACAGCATTTATTCGGTACAAATAAATACGAAGCGAAAATAACAGTTTTTAATTAAACTCTATGTATAATTTTATCGATGCCACAGTTTTGATTTATTCGCCCGTCGTGTGTGTTCACCCAACGGGCAGCGTCTGGCAGCAGTGATCGCGTACTGCGTACGTAAATGTATCTAAAATTTGATATTTGATTAGTTTACACACAAAATGAATATTGCCTGTTGTTTATGCAGGTGTGTGAGCAGGCCGGCGAATCAGTTGATTTTTCTATGATTTCCTTTTTGACCCATTCAATTGTTGCATTCATGCGGTGGGCCCAGTCCTTTGATGCCTCCCGGGGAGCATTACCATGTGCAGGCCCACGGCTCAGCCAATTGATGCTCACTTCTGATTGAACATTGGAAATGAAACGTGACCGCAACGCTGTGGCTTCGCAATTAGATTATCACACATGGGGCATGGGTCGGGACAGCACAGGACAGTCAGGGGAGGGGGTGGGGGATATTTTGTTCATTTTGTCAGGAATTCTTTTCAATGCCAGACTACATGTCGGTAATTATTTTTTGACTGCTGCCATTTGATTTTCGCATCCATAGAAAATAAATTTCAGTACCGACAAATACCGCATTAGTTAGTTGTACAAATGCAATTTAGTTCGTTACGCTCTGCGGTTGCATTGAGCTCGAGCTGCCACAGAGATACAGATAATGAGAGAGCAACTCAGGGAGAGAGAGAGAGAGGGAGGAAGAAAGAGCACGCACGGTTGGGGATGGAGCCACGATAAGTCCTTGGTGGCGCGTTTCAGGTGCTTCAACTCTCTGGTCCCAGGGTTCGGTGTAATTTCATATCCAAAAAGACAGGCAAAAAAATATAATACGAAGCAAAAGTAAATGCAGTTGGCCCTGAGCTGTCAACAATCCGTGTGTGTCTGTGTCTGCGTCTCTGCTGAAAGTTGCCTTCGAAATTTATTGGCAACCGTCGTCTCCCTGTCTCTCTGCCAGACTTCAGACTTTTTAAAGTGAATGCCTTTTGGGCAAGATGACAAATGGCTGGGGCCCATCGTCGGCGTCGTCATCATCATCTTCGCCCTCATAATGACAATAGCCAGGCCTCATGGATATGTGTCTGCATCTGTTTGATACGTAAAATTGTTGGAACAATGTCTGAACTTCCCCATTTCCCCTTTCCACTGCACTGCATGGACACTTTGGGGTCATTTACAGCCCACAAGTCCGAGCAGACGACATGAGTGACGAGTGCGCCGTGTGCTCGGGTTAAATATTTGACTATCTTTCTAACAAAAGAATGGAAATTAGTAGAATTTTCGAGTGTACTCATGGGATTCCATATGCATTTCAGCTGCGGCCCAACAGAGCTTTAAATGTCCCGATGACTTCGGATTCTACCCACACGATGCCTCCTGCGACAAATACTGGAAGTGCGACAACGGTGTCTCCGAGCTGAAGACCTGCGGCAACGGCCTAGCCTTCGATGCCACAGACTCCAAATACCTCACCGAGAACTGCGACTATCTGCACAATGTTGAGTGCGGCGAGCGCACAGAGCTGGGTAAGTTTGACAAATAAGTTCGGGTATCAACCAGACGAAAACTAATCGGCTAAAATCTACAAATTAATATTAAAGAACCCCCAATCACCACTCCACACTGTTCCCGCCTGTACGGCATCTTCCCCGATGAGAACAAGTGCGATGTGTTCTGGAACTGCTGGAACGGCGAACCCTCCAGATACCAGTGCTCACCCGGTCTGGCCTACGATCGCGATGCCCGCGTCTGCATGTGGGCCGACCAGGTGCCTGAGTGCAAGAACGAAGGTGAGCAAATGATTTCTTTACGCTTTGAAGCGGGGATTACTAAATAGAAAAATCGATTCACCTTTGCAGAGGTTGCCAATGGCTTTGCATGCCCCGCTGCCGGTGAGATTGCGAATGCTGGCTCTTTCTCGCGCCACGCCCATCCCGAGGACTGCCGCAAGTACTACATCTGCCTGGAGGGAGTTGCTCGCGAATATGGCTGCCCCATTGGCACTGTGTTCAAGATCGGCGACAGTGACGGCACTGGCAACTGCGAGGATCCCGAGGATGTTCCCGGCTGGTAAGTGTTGACACTACAGAAATATCCTCTTAGGCTAGCACCTGGTTTTGATTTGTTTTGCTTTGGGAGCGCTGTTTGAGTTTGAGATTTCTGGCCACGCTTGCACCACTCGATACTCGATACTCGACACTCTACACCCCACATTCTCCTCACTCTCTACACCCGACACCCCCCCCCTCCACCTTTGACTCTGTCTGAACATTCACTCTTCACTCACTCTCACTTTACTCACTGTACTCAGTCACTAAATCACTCACTCACTCACTCACCTTACCCACTGCATACAGATCACATATCCATATCCATATCTCTTGGCCTATTCTGACATATCTCTTTACCTTGGTCCTTTACCTTTACAATTACAGCGAAGACTACTACGGCGATCTGGATTTGAAGAGCATCCGCAAGAGCGAGCTTCTAGCTGGATTGAACAGTGAAGGTCGCAAGAAGAGCCCGCCCAAAACCAAAGCTGCCTCCACCACCTCCTCATAAACATAATAACAACAACAACAATAATAACTAAACAACAGCAACTACAACTACAACCAAGAACAACATCAATTACAACTACAATACAACAAGATCAATGCCCAATTTTCCACATTTCCACCCCCCTGTCCCCTCTCCTATCCACTCACATCACAAAAAGAATACTCAGCCAGCCTCAAGTCCTAATTCCAAATCGCATCAGATCTATTGGCCTGCCATTTTCGTACTTCTCCCCCTTAAATTCTATTTTTTTTGTTTCTAATTTATGACTCTCTTTCCTTTCGCATCAATTTCCCCCCAAAATTTCTGAGTCAAATCATTTGCTATCTCTTTATGTTTTCTGTTTTCATTAAATGCTGAACCGTAAATATCGAGACATCAAAATTTCAACTCAAATATTTAGGGTCAACGAAATTTTTCACAAAAATTTTGAAATGTGCGACCGAAAGAATTAACAAAACAAAAACAAATAGAAAAGAACATCGAGGAATGAAAGAATCCTTTCAAAATGAAGCGTAAAATTTAGAGATTTGTACATTTAAGTGATCCTTGTTTATAAGCTTATAATTTTATTTTATACATAAAAATGAAAAACAAAAAATATATATAAAAAAAAACAAAAACAAAAATCTCGTTTGGGTAATTGAACATTTTCGATCATGGTAGAACTTTCTCATAGAAAAGTCTCTAATATCTCACCGTTTCCTTAAATCATTTAACGTATCATTTACTGATCCATTAGTAAAGCCACAAAATTTCACAGCGGCCGACTACAACTTAAAGTGCGCTCCTCAAACCAAAAATGTTTCCATCGAAATAGAATTTCTCGTAAATTATTTATAATTTGCGGTCTATGACTGTACTTTTGTGTGTGTGTGTGTGTGCTGAAGATTTTTTTGAAATATTTTTTCTGGCCGACTTGTCGTTAGAGTTTGTAAATAATAAGTAAACATGAAACTTTTCGACGCAGCCAGCCAGCCAGTCAGCCAGCCAGCAAGGGCAAGAGCGCACAGCCATATTTGCCGCAAATGAAAAGTTGGCTGGCATTCGGGAGCGACCAGGAAGTCTTTGCCAATGTCGCCGCTGACGTCTTTTCAAATGCACAAGAACTTTGTTAATTATTCATTAGATTCTATAAACAAAAACGCGATACAAAAACTTTAAATGAATTTTCAAATTATCAACACAATTGCAGGCAGAACCAGAAACACTCAGGCACACACACACACACAAAAATACACGACCGAAGAGGGAAGCAATGGTTAAAGAGAAAAGAGAGCCCTAGAAAGGACACTGGCACCTCCATAAAGAAAGGGAAGGGGGCTAGTTGGGTAGGGGCTGGGGCAAGGGCATGGGCATGGCTTCGTCCCGAACTAACTCATAAAAGCTGGCAACTTTAACGTTCGCTGCTCGGCATTGCCAGAAAGGGTATGCGAATGTCTCAGTGTATGTGTGTGTAAGTGTGTGTGTATGTACTCTTGTTTGTATGGGTGAACCTGTGCTTGTGTGCATTTATGGCTCGCTCACACACATACAACTCTGGGAAAAAGTTTTAAAACTAATTAAATAAAAATTATAAAACTATACAAACTCAAGGCACAAGTTGTCGCTGCTCTTCGGCTGCTAAAGGACATTTTCTGCTGTGTCCTGTGTGTCCTGTGTGTGTCTATGAATGTATGTGAGTGTGTCTGTGTATGTGCATGTGTATGGCTTTGTGTATGTGTGTGTCTCTTAAGCTCTTTTTGGTATAGAAAAGCCGCGTAAAGAGCTCTCGAATTTTGGGGCAAATATGAGCATAAAGTCGCTTGCAACCATTCAGTTTGACGTTGCTGCGGGCTCAGCTCTTAATGCCACTTCGCCACCCAGTCAGAGAGCAACCGCTGGATGTCTTCTTTTACTTAAATAACCTTTAGAATGCTGCTACTGGTTGTTGGTTGTGGCAAGCTTCTGCACCAAGAATGCAATCTTCAATTAAAAGTTGTTGGCAGCGTTGCTTCCGCTTCCAAGGGTCAAATCCTTTGGTTTCCTGTTAGCTCTGATTATGTTTGTGGCTGAGGTTGGCAGAAAAAAAATCCAAGCGTAGGGAAGTCGTCAAATGCAATGCACATAAAAGTATCTTATAAACAGAAATGATTAAACAGAAAACAAAGTTACACAACTGTCCAAGCCAGAACACGAGCACTGGCTGGCTGGCCAGCGACTACAGAAGGGCAGACACTGGATAGACCAACTGACTCTGACGCTGACTGACTCTGGGCGGAGCAGTAACTCTGGTGGATAAAAGCCAAGCTGTCTCTATGCCACCCCGCCCCTGATAAGCAATATAATCCCTTTAACATTTTGACTCTAATTAATTTTAATGACGAAATAAACGCCCAGAAAGCACATAAAACTAGAACGCAGGTTGCTGCCTCCGACTCCAACTCCAACTGTGGCCAAAAGTTATGAGCCGGCAACTGCTTGTCAATACGAGTATTCAGTAGGGCACAGGGGCAGGGGGCAGGCGGCAGAGTGGCACACTGAAGTAGAGTGCTCAAAGTTGGCCAAGAGATCCCAAACTGGAACGTAAATAAAAGAAAAACAATTACGGTCTACTAAACAGGGGCCATATTTTGCAGCTAGCTCCCAATCCTCAGGGCCATCCTAGTTAGGGCTCCTCCTGCTCCCTCATCATCATTCGCATCTTCATCACTCCCGGGAATAAGCCGCAACATTTATGGTGGTGACTTCTCAACAGCCATCGCCATCGCCCAAGTCCAAGACCAAGTCGGGGCCCAGAGCGTTGTCCTTGGTTTTTGGTCAATTCCATTTAATTTAATTTAATAGCCTTGCGCTTTTTGTCATTCGCTGGCCAGAGTCGCACACACAGCGCGCATTTTATATGAAGCTGAGCCGCGGAAGCGGACGAGTATGGGGCAGAGACTAGAGCTGGGATTGGGGCTGGAATTGAGAATGGGAATGGGGCTCCATACATATACTCGTATGGCCATGTCCTGCAGCATGAGGCGTGCTTCGGCGTCGTACTTGTCCTTGTTCTCTGCGCTTTAAAGGCAATTTGTTGTTCGCTGATAATGTTGTTATTGCGGCCAGAAGGCAGCCCAACCAGCTAGCGTCTTTTAATCCTTGACGTCCTGTTGCTTTTGTGCTCTCGCTTTCGCTATTCCATTTTATCTGGCCAGGCCACAAATCCTTGTGTACACCCTGCCAGCGCCCCTCCAGCCCTCGCTCGTCCACTGCTCGTAACAAGATTTTAACAATATTATTTTTAATTACGGTTTTAATAAATATTTCCTTTGTCAATTTACAACACAAACCAAGGGCTAGCCCTCACGACAACCAAACAAAGAAAAAAAAAAGGGAACAAAATTAAACAGAAGTTGCTCGCAGAAAAATATATCATGAAGGAAAAATTCTTTTCGCTACCTAATCACATTTTGTGGACTTGTTAACCAAGTCCTGACTCCACACACCGCACTCACATCTACTCGTACTCATCACGAAAAATTCCTCAGAGCGTGACTGGCAAGAGACAAAACAATTTAATTAAACAAATCAGAGCCAGGCCAGATAGAGAGAGAGAGAGAGAAACTTCCCTTTTGAGTGTTGTACTCGTAAAGCAAGGAATTTATATTTATTTAATACTTCCTGTTTCTCCTTTTACAGCGAGGATTACTATGGCGATGTAGACCTGAAGGCCCTGAAAAAATTGGGCTTTTAAAAATACGAGCTCTCGTACAGAAACACCAACACACACCAGAATGTAAGTCACAGAGAGGTTGAGGCCTGAAAGTCAATGCCAGGCAGGCGAGAGGCGACAAAAGGAGCATCAGCCCGTAGCAAAGGATGGATCAGGAGGAAACCACAATAACAGTGGGCTTAAAATGCTTGCCACACACACACTCACACACTGACACACAGACACAAACACACACACATACACAGAGAGACATGCCACAAGCGTAAAGTATGCACACAGAATATACAAAAATCGTACAGTTGACTTTAAAGACTGAGCACAAACACACACCAGTCCTAGACCTACCCAGTAACCCAATGAAGAAATAGTCGAGGCCTCCGCCACATTTAAGTGGAAGCCACAAAGTAAAGAACGCTTGACCCCGTAGTCAATTACATTTTGCTCTGGTTCCAAATCTGAATCTGCCCGTTGAGCGGAAGCCTTATGGTCCACTGAAGTTCGCCAAAAGCATTTGATGAGCGAGCACCGACAGGAGTTCCGCGAATTTCACATTTACCACAGTGGCCACACAGAAGTCAAATTTAACTTATTTAACTAAATACTCAGAAACCGCATACATACCCCTCACGCTATTATAACTTCAATGTATTGTACATAAATAGAGATTCAGTTTAGCTTTAAGTTTGCATATAAATTTGCATGAAAAACTTAAATAAAGTGCCTTGTTTTTTGTTGTTGTGTACTTCTGCACTGGTATGTAGGTAAAGAGTAAGTATTTCATTGCTAATCTGGGAAACAATCGATGTGTATACGCATTGGACTCGTATATTTTAATCAAATGGATCGGATTTTTCATTAGGTCCGCATGAAACACACACAGTCGCACAGGACTGGCTTCTGGGCAGATATCCACAATTTCTTTTCCCCAATTTACTATGCAACAACAACAACTGCCGTAGCAGTAGCTGGAGCAACAATTCAGATGGCTGACCGCAAAACACAACACGCATACGCACTGTTTGCCAAACAAATAGCAAGAAAATGCCTTAAACCCAAAAACAAGTAAATAAACTTAGAAATACAAAATATATGTACATACAAACACACAAAATTGATAATTATTTAAAAGCCGGCCATCGGAGTTGGAGCTTCCTGCAACAATGGAAGCGGCAGACAAAGGACACATGGAGAGCAATCGGCAGCAGGCAGCAGGCAGTCGGTAGCATTTATCGGACAGCAGGGGGCAAAAGGCAAACTATAACGACGCACATGTGCAACATTAGCCAATGGAAAGATTGAAAAGCATCGAAGGAGCAGAGTGTGAGATATACACACAGTTAGGGACAAAGGACAAATGAATGTTGCAGCCTGCCAGCCTGCAACTATGCAACGAGAAGACATGCTGTTGCATGTTAATTGAAATCAATAAGTGGAACACAGTCCACCAAACTCTCCCGCCACACACACACACACACACACCCAGAAGCATGGACATTGGTGTACACTCAATATGTATCTGTCGGTCCCTGGGTGTCTGTCTGTGTGTGTGTGGTCACAATGGCGGCCAGGCGCCATAGACACAGAAACACAGAGACACAGAGCAGGGCCACAAAACAAGAGCAGGAGCCAGAGTCAGAGCAGCAGCAGCAGCAGTAGCAACAACAACAACACAATGGTTAGTTATCGAAGTAAATGTGGTAAAGTAAATTATTTGCCCAACGGCTAATGACAATGGCAATGGTAGTGGCAGCAACAACAACTTGCAACATGAGCCACCGACCAGTTGGGCAACCTCAGCCTCAGCCTCACCATTGCCACTGCCACCAGCCAACTCTCTCACATACCCCTTTTTATTTATTATTTAGGCAGATGGCAGTTGCATTTTTCTCC